ATCCCGGCGAACGATGCTAGAACCAGGTCGAACCACGGTTATACCTCGATCTACATTACTAGGCAAGCCACCGCCCGAAAAGGAAGAATTCTCGGATCCTGCCCAACCTACTACAAAGGGCAACAGATGGACAAAGTGTCCTTTGCTGCACCGATTCCGCGGAAATATGCTCGTATGTGCGGTGCATAGCATGCCGAATATACCAAGAAAGGAGTGTTTGCGATCGCTGTGTGGATTGTAGTGCCACATCCATGGATGCTGGGGGAGACGAGGCGTGATTGCGTTCCAGTCCAGTCCAGTCCTCGCTTTTGCAGCTCGAGGGCGTCTAGAAGCGACATTGAAGTGCTCGGACATCATACATTGGCATGCAATGACTATTTGGCACGAATTCGTATGGTCGTAACGTCGTCTTCATTATGCCACGACTCATGACTCCGACCTGCTCTTGTATACGAAATCTGGCCTGAACATAGCCCTCCGATCCTCGCCGCCTTTCCCAGCTGCAAAATGCATGCGTATCCTTGGGCGACGGTTGTTACTCTCGATGTCCTTGTCGGAACCTCGCATAGGCAAGTCTAAAGTCTCATCCTCGTCTGTAGCCTGGGACTCCATCTCCGCCGCAAGATTCTGTCTCCGTATTCGCAGGTACTTGTCCGCCTTGTCTTTCTGTCCGGCTTCCAGGGCTTCGCGAATTTCGTTGAAGTCCATATCAGACTTGCTGTCGAGGGATAGAGGTGGCGATGTTGAGCCTTTTTTTTGTGAGGCGCCTGGTTGTGGTGACAGTTGTTGCTCTTCATTCTCCAATGCCTCGATTTCCCGGTCCAGTGCTTCGATCTCTGCTTGTATTCTCCGCTTCCTTTGCGGAGGGGATTCTGCTTCATCATCCACTTCGACCGTGTGCGTGTCCAGTCCGCTCAGGAAGCGATTGACACGATCCTGCTCCTGTTCGTGCATCTTCTTGAACCTTGCCCAGTCGGCTTCGAAGTTTTTGTTGTTCCAGAAGAGCCCGTCTGAATTCGCACACTTGCCACTCGGTAGGCAGCCTGATGCCGCCTTTGGTGGAGATAGCGAGCCTCCTGCATCGCGCAACTCGCGGTAGAAATCGCCGACTAGATACAAGCTACCGGTCAAAGTAATGGGCTGATCTCCTGCCAAGTACTTTGCAGCACACAGTGCCCGCATAACTCCAGCCTGCGGCATGGCTAGAGCTGTGATGCCAGATACAGAGCGCTTAGCGGTCGTAGCGAGATCTTTAGGATTCATAGGTTTGACCCATGGCATGCCGTCTACGCTTCCAAATGAGGTTGTGACGACATTATCTCCTGACTTGAGTACCGTCGACAGATAAGTTTTTGCGTCTTTGCCTTCGGTCATAGCGAGTACCCATGTCACGGGCAAGTCCTTTTGGGAAGGGCGATCTCTGGTACGACGTGTCCTTCTCTGATTATGGTCCACATACTCGACAAGAGCGACTGCTGCATCAGGGTTATGGGCTCCGTCTACAAGGACCTTTCTGCCGGGGTGATCTACATGGCCGAAAACAGGCTCGACTTCGGCGTACTGGAATCGTCCGGGGTTTGCATTAGCCCTCTTGGTACTGATTTCTGCTAGCATAGACTCCGGTTTGAAATTCATCCCCATGCTTTTCAGAGTTTGCTGGACGGCTACCATAGCCAAGACAGCATTATCCCGTTGAAAGGGTCGCAGTGGCTCTGCGAAGTCGCGCCATTTGTGAGTGGAGTAAATGGCTTGTCTTAATTCATGTGTATCACCATGAAGTCGAGGTCCAGCTCCGATCTCCTTGGCGTATTCGTCGATAACATCGTGAACTTGCCACTCGTTGACTGGATTGACGATGTACGGTACGTTTGGTCGAAGGATCCCTGCCTTGTGTTTCGCTATTTCCTCAAGCGTGTTGCCGAGGAATCCTTCGTGATCGCGTGCGATCTTGGAAATGACAGAAATGGCTTGATTGTTGAGGATATTGGTAGCATCGAGCAGCCCGCCCATTCCCACTTCAACAACGCCTACATCGACTTTGGCTTCATTGAAGATAGTGAAGGCCGTGGCTGTCAAGATCTCAAACGGAGAGGCGTTGATATTCTCTTCTTTGCTAGTTCGTATGTAGCGATCCTCCACTGATCTAAATTGCCGTTCACTAATCACTTGGTTGTTGATGGAAATGCAATCCCACCTGAGTCCATCAGTAAAGGTGCCACAATATACACGTGACTACGTGCATACCTGTCGATCAGATGTGGGGACGTGAACTTGCCCACGCGAACAGTTCTACGCTTGAGCAGAGCCGCTGCATGATGGCAGATGGATCCTTTGCCGTTGGTGCCTGCAACGTGTATGGACTTCCACGGAAACTGAACATTTTTCAGCAATAAGCCAATACGCTCCAAGCCAGGCTGGATCATGACCCGTTGATCACTTTGAAGGTCGCATAGGCAACGAAGGGTCCAGGCAGATGCGTCGACGTTTTGAAACTGGTTCCTGCAGGTGTTAGTGACTCAAAGCGGGCACTGGTTGGGAAGGCGCGAGCGTGGTCGCCCTTGCCGGAAGTGGCAAGCACGCTAGTCGCGCCTGCGGACGGGGCTCGATGTTTGTCTGGCAAGACTTGAAGCTGTGGTAGGAGCGAAGGAGGAAGAAAGAAGACATACTTGAACCCCCAAAGTCACAGTGATTGTGCGAATAAAATACTCTACCATTCATTTTGCGGCTACGACTGCCGTCAACAAGTTTGCTGCTGACAAGGCTTCAGCCTGATCTTTCTTCGCAGCTAGCGCCGTTGCCTCAATTCTGGGGGCTTAGTTCATCTCCTCCAAACACCTCGCCAGGGCGCGTACCCATCAACACCACATCCCCATTTCATCGTCTCGTCTATCTTTTTCTCACTACCGAGGCGCGATGGGCATCCCAATCGGCTGGAATATTAAAAGAGAGGATGCGAAGGAGAAGGACGTGCTGCGCGCCGACGTGACCGGTCAGCGCTCGCCTATTCGGCGGCGCATCATCACGAATCCACCGCGATCGCAAAGTGCCTTTGACACGGATTTTCTGATCTCCACGTCACGCTTTGCGCCGCACCCTGAGCCCATATCTCGTGCTTCGCATGATCGCACGCGACTACCCCCGCCACCCGTACCCGAAGTCTCGAGGTCGGCATACCGCAGCAACGAGACCTCGAGAGAGCCCCCGAGCCTACAACGAGAAGACGCCAGCTTTCGCCGCTCGCGGTCTCGTGTCGATGGATACATGCGCGCATATGCAACGCGTGCTGCGCTCGACGACGAGCGCCCCACCCCAGCCCTGACTCCGGGCTTTGCGCCAGCAGCAGCAGCAGCATCATCACGCACTGCAGAGCTAGAAGCTCTGCGCGGGGATGCGCGTATATTGGAGCGCACAATCGAGCAGATACGACATCCTCGATGGCAAGATTCACGACCCACCCGTTCGCGCAGCCCCCTCTCGGACCAGTCTGCGCTCAGGAGAGGCAACGAGGCTGACTACACGATCGACGACCCCCAAGAGAGCAGCGACAATAACGCCGTAGGCTTCCCGCCACTGCGCAGGATGGGTCGCCGCAACATTGCGGATGGACCACTGCCCGCAAGCTCCTTGCGCGAATCGTGGAGCCCCGCCTCGACTGTGGACGGGCTGGGTGACCGCGACCGCAGCTTGAGCCCATTCGACGAGAACTTGCCATGGGACAACTTCCTCAGCACGGTCGTGCCTGATCCAGTCGCGCCTACCGCCGAGTCGTCATTCGCATCTGCGGCTGCTTCAGCCTCGTTCCCGAATTCTCATCCCAGCTCGCGAGCCGGTAGTTCTAATACGTCTGCATCGTCTTCGAGAACGCACCTCACAGTGCCATCACGGAGACATTCTCCTGGCGCGCACGACCAGTTTATGCGCGCCTGCGACACTTCCGAGGACGACACAGCCTCTGATACGGAGGCTGAGGAAGACGAGACAGCTCCAACTGCTGAAGCCATCAGCCACCGCTACAACCCAATAACTCTTCGCCGCAGAAGCCGCCCCTCGTACTTTTCCGATGAGCCACCCAATCGCGACACTGACCGGTATTCAAGGAGAGTGATGGAGCGTACACGCGATGCCAGCTCCTATGTTCGCAGCTTCTACAACTCGGTCTCGGCGCACTCACGAAGCTTGCGTGGTGTGGTGAGCAGCCCAAATAGGGCGCATCGGCGTGAGCGTCTAGTCGACGGACCACGTATGGAACAATTGGACGGACCTGTCGATGGTCCTGCTCCCGCCAGCGACGATGACATCCCACATCTATTGTCTCTGGACTCGTCTCTGCTAGATCAGGAGCTTCGCGAGGCTCGGTCGCTTCTCGAGCGTCTTTCGCGCCGCGAAGACGTGAGCGACGATTTCTGGGCGTCTGTTGGCTTGACGCGATCGTTTGCGGACCGCGTTGAGAGCTTCAATGAGCGCCAGACTTAGTTCTTTGGGGTGGCCATCGACTAGCCGGCTAGTCGTGTGCCATAGTCTTGTATCGTTTATATCTCATTTGGCGTTGTCGCTGTTGTCAGTCGGACTTTATGTTTCGCATCCTTGGGCTGAACACTTTGATTGGAAATGTGGGCATGCCAGGACTAATACTTGGGTTACGAAAAGTCACATTAGGCTATGAGCTATATTGAAAGCTACGAGGGATGACTGGGAAAAAGAAGCTTCTGGTTGCTTGGGAGGTAGTCTGTATTTCTATCAACTACAGTCTTTGCAAGGACGTAGGAATGGAAAAGCTTTCGCGTGTCTGTTGACACGCTCGTTCTACATTGCGAGTTATGATCATCACATAATATTGTCGTTGCCAGCCTTGACATCCGATCAATGCTTGACTCTGATGTTCCCACGATTCTCTGTACGCAAAAAGTCATCGCCTACCCCACCAACCTCCCAACACACACAATCTGGCCCCAACATCTACAAAGCACAACACACCAACAAAAAACAAAAAGAAGCAAAAGCATCTCAGGCGGGGCTCGAACCCGCAGCCTTTGGATTGCCGACAGCAAGACAGTTACTGGTAGAAGTCCAACGCGCTACCATTGCGCCACTGAGACCAGTCGATGGAAATATAAGACTTCTGAACGGTTTTCTAAAACGCTGCTATTATATCGTAGTTGCAAATTAGTGAAGCGAGGGTTGCTGGTGCGAATGATGATGGTGGGACGCGTGACATAAAAAAACGTTGACTGGAGGGGCTGTGCAAGCAAGTGGGGTGGGTTCCATGTGAATTTGTGCGCTTGAGGCCGAGTTTGGGCCGATGGAGATGGTGGGCTTGGTGCTACAGGGTTGCACATGACTGCAACACAATTCCAAGGCTAAGTGTGTAGGCTGTATGTATTTATCTTCTATATCGGTACTCAGTCTGGCACGGACTAATCTTTCGCGTCCCACAACTCCTGAGCATTTCTAGTAAAGATAGCCTCCGTCAAGCCCTCCGCATCAGTCCATTCCAAGCACTTCTCCACAAACGGTCTCACATCAAGCCCGTCGAACCGAGTATGCGGCCAGTCTGAAGCAAAGACAACTCTGTCCCCGGCGACCTTCAGCAACTCCTTTGCCACAGCTTCGATGCCCCGCATTTCCGGATCTTCGTCAAAGCGATATGCTGCAGAGAACTTGACCCATGTTTTTCCGGCCCGCATCATGTTGACAAGTGATTGGAAGCCGACAAAGCTGTACGGGTCCTGAGGATATGTTCTTCTATCGATCGAGGGTAGCTTGGGTGCACCAAAGTGAGCAATACATAACCGCACACCGAGATCTCCAGTAACACGTTCGAGTATCTCAATGTCCTCCATACCGATGAACAGCTCCAGGGCCCAGTCAAGAGGCTTTATTGCAGCTGCATAACGCCTCAGTGTATCGTGAAGAGATTGCTCTGTGAACCGAGTATTGTTCGACTTAAGATTCAGCCGTACCCCACGGACGCCGAGCGCATGCCACTGCCGCAGTGTTCCCAGTTCGATTGTATCGGGGTCGATTCCTACTACGCCTCGACCGTGTCGAGGTCCGATTGCTTTGAGCGCGTCGAGGAGGCAAGAATTGTCGTTGCCGTAGATTGATGGCTGAACAAGGACGATGTTCGGGACGCCAATGCTCGACTCAAACTTCATGGCGTGCTGTAGGCTATGTAGGGATGGTGTGTATGCAGCGCCAACAGCGAGTGGATAGTCAGGTGATGTTACGTGCATGTGACAGTCCCATGCTTGTGCTGGCACCCGTTGGGCGAGGCCAAGTGGTTTGGAAGAGATGGCTCGTTTTTGCGATATTGGGCCATGGCTTGAGGTAAATCGATAGAGTGGCTGTAGGTAGCTTCGAAAATGTCTTAGGAGCGGTATAAGTATTTGATTGATGAAGTTAGTCAGGATGATGGGAAGTGTAATTTTGCTGGAAGACATCGTGCAGGCTGAATCAAGAAAAACTGAAATACACACACCCGTGGCTTCGGCGAGGCGTCAAGTAGAGGACCGAAATGCTCTTATAGGCGCGCCGGCGCATTGTAGTATTCATGAAGGGCAGATGAATGTGCTCCGCAAGGTTCCACAATCGGCGGCTGAGTCTTCAGCTTTGAAGCCAGCGACGGCAAAGTTCTACCTGTTATGGCTCCCGAGGACGGATAGCAAATGGGAGATGACCGAGAGCGGAGCATGGCGTCTTCTTAACTACATGGTGTTGAGTACGTTGATCGCACGGAAGTTGGCCGAGAGTCACGCTAGCGAATGGAGACTCTCGGTCAACTTCCGTCGCGCTAGCGGTGGTAAACCAGAAGCCGCTCACCCATGCAATTGCCGTCTCCTAAGAACCGTCTCCATACCCCAGATACCATCTCCCCAGATTGAGCTATGGTCAATCTGGTGTGTATATCTATAGGCGGTTCACGCCCACCTTCTTCGCAACATGGACAATCGATATCCATCTTGCACACAACTTGGTTGAGTGGCGAACATGGGTTTAGTTGCATCCCCAACCTACTTGCTTGCAGTCGTCGTGCTGGCTTTTGGTGGCATCCCTAAAGGTATTTGGCCTGATGGATAAGTGTGTATAACTTCGCTGATCCAAAACTCAGGCTACGATGAGGGTGGATTTTCAGCCAGCGTGACACTGCCGGCTTTCAAGAACGACTATGGCCTCAACAAGTCCCTCTGGATTCACAACGCAACCGGTCTGGCGAATCGTACGGTCAACATTACTTCCTTTGGCGTACTAGGAGCTGCCATCGGCGCCCTGATCGCTTTCTTCCTCAATGATAAGATTGGCAGACTATGGTCGTACAGAGTTGCCATCTTAATGTGGGCCAGCGGCATCCTGATGCAAGTCTTCTCCTCCGGGATCTTCGGCTTTCTGCTTTTCGCTCGGGTATGGGGCGGCTTCGGCGCTGGTGGCCTCACTGTGATCGCTCCACTATTCCTGTCGGAGATCGCGCCTACGAAGTCCCGCGGCATAGTGGTCAGTACGTACATGGTGATGCTGCATCAATTACGGAGTTAGCAAGAACATGGCTCAGGGCAGGTCGCAGTGGCAGATCGTCCAAGCCATTCCTCTTAACCCAGTTGGCGCTGCTTTCTTGGCATCATTCCTCATTCCGGAGAGTCCTCGCTGGCTGGCTGGCTTCGCGAGGTCGCCATGAGGAGTGTATCACTGCCATTGCACGATTGCGTGGTCTTTCGCGAGATGATCCAGCGCTTGTGGACGAGCACGAGAAAATCGAACTGGAGGCCATCGTTTTGGTCGAGATGACTAGTGCATCCATCATCGACACAGCGAAAGACTGTTTTACGATATGGAGTCTTCGCAGTCGCTACCTACTCACAATCAGCATGCACATCGTTGCTCAGTGGACTGGCGGCAACGGTATAACTTACTACATAAGCGATATCTTCCAATATGCCGGCGTCAAGGGCTCGCAAACATCACTGATCACGTCGGGTGCATACGGCATCGTTAAACTGGTCATTACCATGATCTTTGCATGGGGTCTCATCGACAGGATCGGGCGGAGACGCTGCTTTTTGGCTGGCCTCACACTGCAGGGTGCCACGCACATATACATGGCCGTCTACTTTGGTGCCATCGGTTCGACGAACAGGCATGCATCTGACGCTGCGATAGCTTCAGTCTTCGTCTTCGCCACCGGCTGGTCAATCGGATTGTGCACGATACCATACATCTACGGAGCCGAGATTTTTCCTACCAAGAATCGCAGCTTCGCATATGCGACCACAATGTCTCTGCATTGGTTCTGCCAATTTGCCGTGGTACGCGTGACACCAGTCATGCTGGCTGCGCTGAACAAATGGGGCGCATACTTGGTCTGGGCGATCATTTGTGCGGTCGGTATTGTTGTGCTAGGATTATGGGCACCCGAGACGAAGGGCGTGCCTTTGGAATGTATGTCCAAGCTCTTTGACCCTCCTTGGTACAAGTGCTGGAGATCCAAAGTTGACACAGCGGATGTATATCAAAGCACCTTCGAGGAGAAGGGTTTCGAGAAAGGCTCGATCGAGCAGCGGAAGGTCGAAGCGCGCTCGTGAAGTTGGGTGCAAGATGGCGGGAAATGTGTGTAGCTAGCTACATAGTATGGTAAGAATAAGACTCATCGCACCCAACATATCTCGCAATGTCGCATTAAGCTATTGTTTCTTTCCCGATTGACGATCTTCGTTTGAGTGTGCGGGTGGAGTGCGTATTGTATGTGAAAGAGGCATGACGTGGTGCCATACTTCGTGCGCTTTCTGGACGAATGTCTCCGAAGTATCAGAGCTATGTCCTTACTCACGTCTCTGCTCATGTGGCGGCCTGACTACCTTCAGAGTACTTTATGATGGACAGAGTCCAGAGACGAAGATACCTGAGGTTATACAGGAGTCTGCGAGCGGTGTGTTTTCGCGACGGAGTTTAGTGAGCGTGGCGAACCATTTATTGCACGACCTGGCGGAGGTCGTCGAAGCTCGATTCGATTGAGCCTCACTGCTGTACATGCACCAGGGTCCTCGGTGTAATATTGATGGACCATCATGACACGGTGTACATGATATCGACAGCTAAAGCTCGTTCGAGAAGCTAGGATGTGCTGAGGCCAGGATCCATGACAAAACTGATCGACTCGATGTGCGAGAAAGTCTCGAACATCTCGAATGGCATGTCCAATAGATTATAGTACGTAGAACTTTCCGGACCGCTGCCCAAATATTGTTGGTCGAGCAATATCGTGTCATCATATGTGATTGGAGGCTCCTGTCGGGATAGGCCTGGAGCCAAAGAGGTATTGTGAAAGTCCATGCTTGAAGGCTGCAAAGACCGACTTTCCAGTTGCTGGTTTCGCAGATTCATCGATACCGATGAGTATGGATTTGGCAACCGTATACCAAGTACTTCGAGCTCTCTCGAAATCAGTTCACACGCCGTGCTGAGAACTAAGGCTTGTCAGAATTGCCAATTCGAAAGCAAACGAACCGTACCTGGGCTTGTCTCACGAAGTCGCTCCAGTGTACTCACGCAAGGTGCGAGTCTCTCGAGGGTGCTAGGAGCTGCGTGGCTCAGAGCTTGGATCTCGAGCAAGAAGATCGATGCTGCTGTATAGACGCTGTAGGCCAGTGCAAGGACGACGTGACCTTCTCCAAAGGCATTGTTGTATAAGTCAAATAACGCAACAATGGAGGTTGCTGAGGATATGCACTGTATAATAGGGTTGTGCTCTGCTATCCTGGCCGCTAAATGTGGTTCGCGGCTAAGCTTCAATTTGGCGCGATTCAGCAGGATATTGATCGTATGATAGAGGCAGCTACAGCTTTCTGTCAGTAAGCACTGCGCAGCTTCAGCTTACATATGCCTTACTTGAGGGTTATGATGTGGCTTGGAGGACATTCCGATGCCAAATCGGCGACATTGATCCTGAGATGCTCTGGAAGGTCACGCCACCAGTCACGCAATTTTGAAGCTGCGGCCAGGGCATACTCGTAGGCGCTAAATGGTGTTGGGCTTGCGGAAGGACTGTAGAGATGTACGAGGAGTTGATTGAGAACTTCAGAAAGCTCACAGACTTGTATAAAACACG